TTGAAAAAAAGATTTACGCGTTAAGAAATGTTAATCACTGAAAATATGAATGAGTATCATTATCACCATTGTTAGAAATATGCTCCTCGATAGAATTTCAATGAATAGACAGTAGAAGAGACATCGAAAAGAAAGGAAAACAATAAAAAGCTCGACCACAACACCGCACATGAGTTGAAAATATACAAAGGTATACAATTAGGATTGGCACGATCACCCTTTCTTCGCCGAAATGACGACTTGGAAATTCGTCCCCTGCCAACCATGCACATATTTTTTATAGGTTACACATAGAAATGTTTGTTTCCAAAAAAAAGACAGCAAAGAAAGAAATGAAAAACAGATACACGTAACGAGCGTATAGCACTGAACGAAAGCCCTCGACGGCAGTGATCGTTGGTAGTTTCTTCTAAGTTTTAGCGAATGCTTTCTGCCGCAATCCGAATGATCTATTGAACAATTTGTTAGATTGAAAACTCATCATGAAAGAAATTACTTTTTCATCGTAAAAAGCTCTTTGCAAAAGCAAGAGTCTACCTCGCCAAAGAAACCATTCGCGAAAGCACAGAATATCATCCGGAAGCTAGAGCATCTAACACGAAACATTTTACGATTAGGGCTTATCATCAATGATTTACGACTAGAAATTTATAATGAAGCAACGTAATGTAATGTGAGTTTATCAAATACATAATCTACGTGGACGTGAGCATATCGAATATGATAATGAACTGCCATGAGAATTTCATGCATCAGACCGTTTTCTAGCCGAAAGCAGTTTTTCGACTACAAATTATCAAAGAGAAAAAATACAATATCACAGGAATTGAAACGGTAAGAATACGGTCATAATTGAAAACAAAATTTGAAAACATTCATAGAATATAAAAATGTTATCGACTACATCTTGTGTAAGACGTGGATTACGAAGACCTCACAGTTTGAAAATCACAGATCAGTGTAAACATACTTGCATTGTGTCCGAACTTCATGATCACAAGATGGGAAATACGTCAAATAACTTTCTATTGCGGCATTCTAGCGACAGGACCTTTTTTTCCTACAATTAGCATATCGAAATGCATAAACTTGAAACAATCGCTTGAACACTGTTTTCAAGCTCATCACAATATCTGTAAGCAAATTTTTGAACTTAGTTCTGCGCTAAAGGGTGCGCTGAAAACTCAGCACCATTCAGTCTTCATATGCGAATAAAAATAAGGTGAAACAGTAAGAAGAGACAGCAGCAAAGAAGATTCGCTGTTCGCTTCAAGCATACGA